GCGTGTCAGCATTTTGGAAAACCCTAACTTAACTCTGGTGCCGTGTCACATATAGAAATTTTTTGATATTTGCAACCATAGTAAAACAAAGACTTATATTTTTGATATTTATTTTATATATTTAAATGCCATTTAACAAAGAAAAATCAACCAAAAAAATGAGTTCGCGTGTCACCTCTGACACGCGTGTCATAGGTTCGCCATCACTGCTCTATTCACTGAGCCAAACCAGGTAGGGTGTAAATGTTTTATTTTTAATGTATCCATCCTTGTGACTGTCTTCATGGTCTCCACTCCTTATGTTTATTATTTTTCCTACTAGATAGAATGGAGATTTTATCCCTGAGGAAACAATTTTTGACACCACACAGTAACCATACAGTAACTTTGTCTTGAATAAGCTAATGAGATCAGAGAAAACTGTCCATTCTAAGTGGGATTTTTTGGTCAGTAGCCTGCAAGCAGTGACAGTCTCAGGTCTCGGCAGCACATAGACAGATCAGGGTGGGAGTGCATTGTGACTTACATCTCCCTTTCTCTCTGTGTGCAGGTCTGGCAGACCCATCCGCATTACCACAAGCAGTAGCTGCCTACCAGGGCTGTCACTTCATAGGCATGCCCGAATGTGAGGTAACATTTTCAGCTCAGCTCTGTGCAGATCAGCTTTTTTCTCTTGTACTGTGTCTCCTTGTGGATTTACATATATAGGGTATCCCAAAAATGGTATACACACTTTTACACTTGATAACTCACTTAATTTTCACTCCTTTGTAGGTTTAACTGCTTTGAAATAATGGGTGAAGTCAGACTAATCTTTGAACAAAGAAAAGTTATCCTAAAGTGCCACTAGACTTTTTTTTTTAATGGAGATACATAAAATACTAAGTTTACAGTATAAAACCGGCAACAGTCAACAAATTGAGGGTACACAAATACTGAACGAAATTATTCTTAATGTTATCATCAGGGCCTGGACCACAGCAGTCATCAGTTTGAAAACAGGCATCTTCATTTCTATAGATTCTTTTAAATGTTGTAAATGAACTGTATGTTAATAAATGCTGACTTTATAATCATTCAAAGTGGTATACATTTTGGGGGGACACCCTTTATCTTCTGCCTTCACCATTAGTTAATGTGTGGTCACACTGAAGAAGCTTCTTATTTAACTCCCATTTTATAAGCTTAGACGAGAGAGAGAGAGAAAATATGAGAATCTTGGGTGTTGACAGGTCATGGTTTCAAACTATTTCCAGTCGCCTGAAGTTCAGAGGAAGTGCTCAGAATTTCCTGGGGGCAGAAGTGTTGAAGCTGAACAGGAAGTCTGTGCAAGTTTACCCACAAACACACCAGCTTCTTAGTTGTGTTTTATGTATTGGGGTTTTAAGAAAAATTTCATTTAATAAAAAGTTCTTCAGTTTAAAAAAAGAAAACCACAGGTCTGGTTCAGCCTCTCTCCTCATGTAGGCATTTCTTCTTTCTGTCATAGGTGGTTGTCCAGACTGGAGGCAGAAAGAGGAGTGATAAAAGTGTGGTGGGAATCTTCTCAGAATTAACTAAAGGCATCATAGAGTATTCTGCAAAATAAACTTCCTGGTACCTTCATAACAAAATGTTTCCTTTTCATCTAGGTGCTTCTGGCCCAGTGTGTAGTCTATTTTGCCAGAGCCCCAAAGTCTATTGAGGTGTACAGCGCCTACAACAACGTCAAAGCCTGCCTGCGGAACCACCAGGGGCCTCTGCCCCCCGTCCCACTGCACCTGAGGAATGCGCCGACCCGGCTCATGAAGGACCTGGGCTATGGCAAGGGCTACAAATACAACCCCATGTACAGCGAGCCTGTGGACCAGGAATACCTGCCTGAAGAATTGAGAGGAGTGGATTTCTTCAAACAGAGGCGATGCTGACTCTTTGAGGCTATGACAGCAGAAGGATGTTACTTTCTTTTCTTTTTTCTTCTTTTTTTTAATAGGAATGGCCAGAAAGAGAGTAAATGGATTGTGAAGTTGGTTTCCTGGTAAAAGTTAAAACAGCCCAACTTTTTGTGCCAGAAATTTGAGAATTTCTTAAGTGGAGGCACAGCTACTTCAGCTAAGTGTGTAATGTTGAATCGTGTTCATTTGCACTCTGCAATGGTTATGCGTATGGAAGTGTCTGGCAGCTTTGTGCAATGAATTAATGTTATAAGGAATTATCTATTTTGTCATAGTATTTAAATCATAATGTCATTTCAGAATTCAGTTCTGTAGGATTTTTTTCCCTTTAAAAAAATGTATATTCTGGGTAGTTTTAATTGGTAAAAAAATGTAATTGTGATTTAATACTGCATAGTGTTCTGGGGTATTTTTTTTATATGCAAAGGTCTTATGAGCCAATAAAACTATTTCAAAGTAGTCTTCAGTTGGCTCCTGTTTTTCTCGCCTTGGATACCTAGGTTCCAACATCTTGTTACCGTCACATTGTGGGTAAATACTGTAAAAGAAAAATTATCATAGGTGAAATTGAAAAGCTTTGTATTTTTTTGAAAATTTTAATTTCTTAAAGGAATACATATAATTTTAAATGGCTTATAAAAATCCAGTTGTTTGTTCCATTTCTCCCTGCTTCCTCCAGTTTCTTCTTGCAGCTCTGTGTTTCTAAATAATATAGGAATTTCACTTTTGTGTTTCCTAAAGTTAAATGTCTGACACAGAGAGAGAACTTAGTTTTCTTTGTATCTACTGCTAATTCTTCTCAAACTCCGTAATAGCTATTTTGCACACATTTCCACAGAGATGGCTCCATCAGTAACCCATAGGTTCTGTTTCCGCCCTGGGTGTGATCCCTCCTGGGCATGCCACTTCTGTCTGTCTGGAATGTTGCACAGCTATGTCCTGGGACTTCTGCCTTCTCCTTTACCAGGCTGGAGGGCTGTACAATGGCATTCCCCAGGCCCTGTGTGTGAACCTCCCTCTTCAGTCTGGACTGGTCATGCTTTAGTACCCACTTGTCCCTTAGCTGTCATCCTGGAAATGTCCTTTGGTTCGACCTGTACCACATCTGATTGCAGAACCCTGTGCTTTCCTTTCTGCTTAAGTGATGCACATCCTTATAGCAGCTTTAGGGCATGGGAGGCAAAATATTTTTAGACTTTGAGTGTCAAAATCTTCAGACTCATCTGATAATTTGAGAATAAATTCTAGGTCAGAAATTATTTGTCAATTGTCTCTTCCCCACATTGCTGTTGAGAAGTTAGATGACATTCTGTTTTATGACCTCTGCAAGCTTATAGAATCCTCTTTCTGTTCCTCATGTTTGGAGTAATTTTACTGGTCATTTAGTGGCCCTTTCAATCCAGAAATTCATGTCTTTACTTCTAGGATAGTTTCTTTTTCTTTTTTATTTTTAAATGTTTTTATTGATTTCAGAGAGGAAGGGAGAGGAGAAGAGGGATAGAAACATCAATGATGAGAGAGAATATTGATTGGCTGCCTCCTGCATACCCCATACTGGGGATCAAACCTGAAACTCGGGCATGTGCCCTGACCGGGAATCCAACCGTGGCTTCTAGTTCATGCTCAACCACTGAGCCATACCAGCCAGGTGGATAGTTCATTCAATAATATTAAGTGCCTGCCTTATACTGATCACTCTTGTTGGGAATGTATCAGTGAACAAAAGAGACAAATCCTATGCTCATGAAACAACAGGATAAAAAATAGTATTTTAATATGTCAGTTAATATTAAGTGCTAAGGAGAAAATAATCAGGATGGCGATAGGAAGGGTCAGGAGGTAGTGTGGTTGCAGTTTTAGTTAGAGTAGCCTAGACAGGCCTCATTAGGAAGGTGGTTATTTGAGTCAAGAATTAGAAAACATGAGTGTGCCATTCAGATATCTAGAAGGTCATTCTAGGCAGAGGGAGCAACAAACACAAAGCCCTGGGAGGAAGGTGCCTGGCAGACAGTGTCCAGAAAGGAGGCCAGTCATGGGGGGGTTGGGGGGGGTCAGGAGATGACGGGGGTTTGGATTATGTGGAACCATTTTGTTCATGGGAAAATGTTTGGCTTTTACTCATGATTTCTAGCAAAAGAGTGCTACAATGGGACTTGAATTTTGTTGAGATAAGACTGTAGGGAGGGCAGAGGTGGGAGATGGGAAATGAGAATTTGCTATGTTGAGGGAGAGGTGATGGAGGATGAGTGGTGGTAGTAGAGATTGTAAGACGTGGTTTGATACAGTAAAATTTGGTGACAGGTTGTATGTAGTGTGAGAAAGAGGACTTAATGATGGCTGCCATTTACTGAGAATGTAACAAATAACAACTTAGCTTTGGCATTGACTAATTTGAATCCTCAATAACCCAATAAGCAAAATACTATTATTTACATTTTTAGGGTAAGGACATTGGGGCACAGAAAGGTTTAATCTTTGCTCAGGATCGCCCCGCCAGTTGAGGTTTGAATGTAGGCCATCTGATGTGGAGCCCACGTTCTCACCTGCGGATTCTTCTCACCTCTCTGGTCCTTCCTTTTTAACTCACAGTACTGAGGTTGGCCCTCCCTCAAACCGGTCTCTGTATATGTTTCCCATTCTTTTGTCTTTTGTTCCACTTTCTGGGAAATTTCCTCAACATTATATTTCATTACTTAATTTTGCCATCATCATGTTTTAAATTTCCAAGAGTTCACTTTTCTCTTAATTTTTCCTTTGTTGTTTGTGTTTATTTACTTATTTATTTTGTGACTGCTTATCTCCCTAAGAATACATTTCTTTTTCATTTTTCTCCCTACATACTCTTCTTTCCTCTAATTGTTTTTTCTGTTCATTTTGGTCTCTACCTTTGTGGCCACCTTTTGCAGCAAGGATTCAGAATCTGGAGAAGGGGCTGATGCACAAACGGATATACTAGACAAGAAATAAAAATTTAGAAGGCATGGAGGAACCAGGTGGAGACCTA